ATATTGCTAACTAATGGACACACCTAATACATAAAAATAAATGAATGATTATTTTTCTAATTAAATTAATCACAAATACATGAATTGAAATCTTTTCATGAATAAAACATACTAAGTGATTTTTACTTAGTTTACCTGTTGATTTGGAACAATTTGAGGGTGGTTTTATAGAAGTTGGATAGAGTGTATGCATATATTATAATACAATCCATCACAGGAAAGTGCAAACCATGCTGAGATGGCTGTTCCTCATTAGAACGTTTTGTTCTGAACTCTTATTGGACGATTTGCAGGTAACTTCTCTGTACCCTTTTCAAATGTTAGGCTAGATTTCGCCCAGATTATCGAAAAGTATACCCATAAAGTTTAATCGAATTTTAATAAGGTTGTGCGCGTATTACTATTCGACTTTGAGTGAAACACGCTAAAAAAAAATTAACATGAAAAAGTTGTTGTTCGAACAACTTTTTTTCCTTAAAAGCGCCCACTTTGCGATGTATGAAGAAAAGTTAGGTAATTATATTGCCTTTCATGAGAAAAAATATCAAGCAAATCTGAGGGGTACCATTTTTGGGAAAATGACTTTTAATTTTTAAATATATTTTTTTAGAGTGTAGAAACCGATTTTTTATTTTATTTAAATTTTTTTATAAAATTTCAGATTATTTGCTAAAAGTTCGCCATACATCACTTTTTTGTAGAGCTTGTCATTTTTAAGCTATATCGATTTGAAAAAAAAATCGACAAAAAACTTTGAACCTTATCAAATGTTAGGCGAGATAAATTTTGAAAAAAATAAGTACGCAAAGTTGCTTAAAATTGCTAAGTCTCCACACCCACAAAGTTCCATAAGGTTCTGAGAGGGTGCTGCCAACCACTGGATGAGTTGGCGTGAAATCCGTCTTGATTTAAAAAAAGATGAACAAGGCTCAACTAGTCAATCCAATTGAATTCAAGTGAGTTGATCAATTGACTTGCCCAGAGTAAACCTGGCTTAATAGAAACCCCGAGCAGATCAATGCGAAGAGTGAAGCCTTTTCCAAATCCAAATACTCATTCTCTCTTGCAGATCGAACTATCTTTTTTATCCAAGGGTTGCGTCAATTGTAATCTAACTATTGGATCTTAAATTAAATTGTTATTATAATCAATGCTGAATTCCTACATCCTCCTTCACCTCTACTCTCTAATTATTTTGAAATCAGAGCTTTGCAATGCTTTGAGTGACATATGAAAAAAAAAATACTGCTTATCGATCGTCAAGAGTATAGCTACTGACATTTATAGATTGCACCTCAATGTGAATCATCATCAGTGTTACTCATAATAATTTAAAAAAAAAATCGCATGCCACTATCCATTTGACTTGTACTATTAATCTACCATGCTCATACTGTAAAGTGATGATTCAAGACTCTATTTGGCATTCTTTAAGTAAATGGAATTTTTCTCATGATTCCCTTCCAGCTATCCTCATATTGAAATTTCCATTGATTTGCTATCAAAACTACATCAAAATCGAGGAGGACGACACATCTAAATCTCAATTCTAGATGCTAAACAAATCTCACTAAGGCGAATCAATCTTCAAAAAATCTTCTAAAATTTCTCACATCTACTTGCCTCCTCTTCAAAATTAGATTCACATTTCTTTTTTCAGGATTCCATTTGAATTCTCCTCATAATCCCGTTAAATTTTTTATCAAAACTCTGTTGAAAGTTTCTATGGAATCATGGAACTCCCCACAGAATATTTTAATAAAAATTATCTTGGAATTCCAATTAAAACTCCCTATAATACAGAATATAGTTAACTGACCCCTGCCAATGGCAGCTGAAAACGACAATGCTCTTATTATGACAGTTAAATAACAGATCAATATAGTTACTGTACAAATATTTTAAATGCATTTGATTTTAACAGCATCAAATTGGAATTTGCAGAAGTTTGAGACATTATCCTCCAGCAGTTGGTTTGCTTACTCGACCGGTGCCATAAGTAATTGCTTTCTGATGAATTCGCGATAAATTGGGGATTGGAGTCATTACAAAAGCAGTTGCGCCCTTATCTCAAATCAGTCCGGCAATGTATTTATAAGTATCTTATCAAATGTCATTACACTATCCGATACTATTAAAAATTCGGATATCCGGATATTCAACTATCCTGAAATCCGGATATCCTGTTATTTGTTATCCGGATTCCCAGTTGATCTGGATTTTAGATATCTGCTTTCCCAAGAAACACAAACTCATAGAATCATGTTGAGTAAACTTCTATATAACCCAAACGAGTCATACAAAGGCTATATAAACTATAATAGAACATGTGTGTTGCTTTAGCTACATATTTGTATCCGGATATTCCCAGCACTAGTGGAAATAAGATAAAATTGATAAGATTCTATCTCACAGTCAATGATCCCACTAACCCCCAAGTCCCACTTCACCCACAATTAATATGTTAAATTTCAGCGAAGCCTAATCTACGCCGGGATCATCATCCAACAGCAGTACAGATATGCAAATTTAACTCAATGCTTGCTTCGCTTCATCATACACTGGGTAGCGTAATCAGTTCCGCTCATAACCTAGCTCGTCAGTTGTGTGCTCGAGAAAATGCAAAGTACTGCAAAAATCATTCGAGAATCATGCCTTTGAGAACATTGAGTTTATCCTTCGTATACCTGTGAAAGGTATACATACCACAAAATCAACATTCGAACCGAAGCCGGTGGTGCAGTCGCCTCGTAAACATACACAGTTAAGGTCCAACCACATTAGATCTGGATCTGACGCGTTGCGGCAAAGTGACAGCCAAATGTATTGTTTAACTGTCAAATTTACGTCAACGGAACGCAAACGGATCTAATGCACTTAAACTTCTTGCTTGTACTGAACTTCGGAGTCGTGCTAAGATATACCATACTTTTGCTAAAGAGTAGAGAACTACTTCGACATAAGCGCTCATTTCCATCATATCGGGCTGATACATCAAATATATCATTTCGATTTCGGCGAGCACGAATCAATCATACGTTTTATACGATATGGTATTCTTCTGAAAAACAAGAGAAACGCTCCTAGCGAATTAATTTTGTCTGCCTTCATCTCGCTTCATCAGTATGCCGAAGTGAATCCAATGATGCCTAATTGTGTTTTAAATTTGATTACAAAATAATTTATTAAAAATAAAAAACAAGCAGTAGTGTTAGATTTTTAACAATATTTCAACAATTTGTGACTTTTATTTTCAAATTTAAAGGTACGTACGGCAAGTAAAATAAATCTAGACGTCATCTTTGTTAGAAACAGTGTTGGGAAAACATCAAAAGATTAAATCTCAACAATGAGCATCATCTCATTTGATTATCGTAAACAAAAATCAACAAGCAAATAACTGCGCATGATATTACAAGCTGTGACACGATAGCTCTGATGTCATGCTAACAAAACTCACCAAACACTGGTGAGCTCGAGCTTCAATATTTGGGTTGTACACCCGAACACGAAACGAATCTTCCATCACTGCTGGCAGCAGTAACTTCGTGTCTGCCATCTGTGAAGAGTAAAGAGAGATGGCAAACTATGCTTTCTCTTTCTAAGAAAACTAAGCATAAGCTTAAAAATCTTTAAGATTTACATTTTTTTCCTTGATTTGTTTTCCATCGATCTTGTTTTCCGTGCTGAGCACCAATGTTACCGACGCCAGGGAGGGACCCTACCTATCGACCCATCAACTCATGAACCGGGGAACAACGGCTTTACTTCCGGAAGGCGTGATCAGAGAAGTTATACCTCAGAACATCCCGGCGGCGCTGACTGGGATTGAACCCAGGCCTGCTGGGGTGAGAGGTAATCACGCTTACCACTACACCACCAGCGCCGCGTTATTGAAGTTTTCGTTTCATGAGAGGTGAAATTTAAAATTTATTTTCCCCTATTTGGCCTGCAACTGCTCGTTAGTCTTCATCGATGTGATTTCTAATCTTCTATGCGATGTTCTCTAGTTCGAAGTTGTAAAGACTAAGGTTCTGATGCATGATCAGTATTGGTGTCATTGTTTGATTTTGTTGCTAAGGAGTTCAATATTGACTGACAAAGAGGCGCGCCTTTGGAGGGTACTCTAATACTTTTTTAATGGTATAAATAGTGAAACCTTTAAATTACAATCAGTTTCTTGCGATTGGCAACTGTATCAAAACGGAATCCTTCATTATTTCTCAATAGTGATATAATAAGGCATACACTAAACTAAGGACACTGGATATACTACTAGTTGCAGAGCATAAAAAAAGATCATCGAAAAAATCTCTCCACTTCACCGAGCTGCTGCGTATTCTAGCGCTTTGCACCATTTGTTAAATGTTGTTTATTGATTTATTTGATAAGGCTCAAACAAATTAACTTTACAGAGCCGAGGATTCTTGGTCACTATACAATACATCTTAAAACTATAGTTAAAAGGTACAACACAATAAACACTTTATCTTCCGCTATCCAAAATGCCTTCTCCAGCAAAACTGGAGCCGCTTCCAGTGGTTTCATTGTATGGCAGTTACGCCAACGAGGGTCAGAGTGCTTCCATTGCAGCAAAGTACGCAAAACGTGGTCAGCACTCACACACTCATCACTAAACGGTTGCTTTCCAAAGTCGACGACGCATCGACCGAAAGAACTGCTGATGAAAAACAATGAGGAGGACCAAAAAATGGTTGCTGCCGAGAAAACAGACGATCGCGTGGCACATATCGAGAGTGGCCTGCTTTTGTCGACAGCCGAGTGAACACTGATTTGTTAAATTGTTCGCTCTTATTCTTCAGGAACAATTTATCAAGCATGTTAAATATTGAACGAAGTTCTGAAAATAATTATAAGAAGATAATTTATATTTGCACCACTTATTTTGTATTTACAGTAACATTAATTTAAACTGACTAGACAATACGATTACTGGTACTGGTACACCTTCATTTACATCATACCAGAGTGTTTTGACATTTTAATAGAAAACAATACGAACTACTTGAACCATCAACTGTCAACATTGTTGGCCCAGTCTTTTTTAACCATGTCGGCAGCTTTTTCACCGATCATGTACACTACTCCGTTGGTATGAGCGGCCGGTAGAAATGGCATCACGGATGCATCCACTACTCTCAAGTTACGAATGCCGTAGACCTGTAGTTCAGGGTTTACAACTGCATCCGGGTCACTGGATGGGCCCATCTTACACGTTCCGGACTGAAATGATAAAATATGATATTTTAGTAAAGCACAGATCATGACCCTAAAATTTCCTACTACCTGATGTTGTATGCTCGCTCCAACCTGCTGAAGGCAACACTTCCAGTAGGCATCGCTACGGAAGGGTTCCTTTTCGCACCCGTAGAACGGTGTCCCGAGTAGCTTCGCTCCATATGGTGCAAAGCTCTCGGATTCTGCGATTCGCACCGCCAGTTTGATGCCCTCGATCATCGTCGACATATCCTTGGGATGATCAAAGAAGCTACCCTCCATATGCGGCCAGTGGTACGGGTTTGTACTTTTCAGATACAACCGACCTCGGCTTCGTGGGCGCATTAATACTGGGGCTATACCGAAGGCATGCTGTCCTCTGGCCGATCCGTAGGTTTTGCTGTAGAATTCCTTCGTCATACCGAAGGTATGTCGCAGAGATCCTGATTCGTCATTGTTGACGGCTCCGGTTCCCAGCACCAGCTCCATATCCGGATAATCGGACGGTAAGTCGGAATTGTTTGTTTTCACGAATGCAATACCTTCCGCGCCCCCCGGAACCGTGAACGGTCCTTTTCTGTTGATCATGTAATTTAGGATAAATTCAGGTCTTCTCATATCCCGTTCGCGAATAGTCACTGGTTTATTGACCGTAAACACCAGCCCTGAAAGTGTCGTATGGTCTTGCAGATTGTATCCAACTTTTAAATCTTGAATCACTGGAATACCAAGCTGTTCTAGGTGATCCTTAGGTCCAACACCGGACAGCATCAGTAGTTGTGGAGAAGCGATTGCTCCTGCTGTCAGGATGACTTCTTTGGTTACCTTTATCTGGTATCGTTTCTTGTCCTTTGTAAATTCAACGCCATATGCAGTTTTTAATTCCGGGTTAATTAAAATTTTGGTTGCCCATGATTTCATTGAGATATGCAAATTTGGACGATTTGCGACAGGTCTAAGATAAGCTCTGGAAGCGCTGCAGCGTTCACCGTTCTTCATGGTCGCCAATGCTTTGTAGAATCCCAGCTGAACTGGGGCATTTGGGTCGATTTCTTCATATCCGAAGGCTTTTCCTGCAGCGATGAAACGCCTCAACATGGGTGTTTCAAATGAAGTCTGTTCGATATGCACGTATCCTTCTGGATTAGGCTTGCGCCCTTTTATCTGCTCTGCTTTCTCGAAATATTTTACAACGTCCTTGTAGCTCCATCCATAGTTTCCAGCTTGTTCCCATTCGTCATAATCCCGTTTGTGCCCTCTTCCATAGAGAAGAAAATTAATGAGACTGGTTCCTCCTAAACCTCTACCTTTGGGCCAGTAGCATACGCCATTTTCTAAGCCTTTGCAGGCGTTCTTCATCGGGGCCGAACAGTATCCCCAGCTAAATTCTGTAATTGAAAATAATTCGGTTAATTCCTATTCGTCACTATTCTGTAAAATTCTTAGTATTTACTAGTAGCAGTCGTTAATCCAGCTGTCAGCGGTACATTGACCATAAGATTTTCTTCGGTTCCCACTTCCAACAGAAGCACGTTCCAGTTGGGATTCTCGCTGAGACGATTGGCCATAGCGGAGCCCCCGGAGCCGGCTCCGATCACGATGAAGTCATACTCCTTGCGGAACACGGTTGTATCCGGTATGCGTGAGGTTCGATTTCCATAGAGAAACAGGAAGCTTATGTCATCGAATATGTTCTGGAATGGAGTGTCCGGTGCGGCGTGGTGGATAGTGAAGAGAAACAGGAAAAGACTGCGTAGTAGCATCTGAGGGATGGTAGAGGAGAGGAAATTTAGAAATTCTTTAGTCCTTGTATGTAGGTATAACTCATTTCCATTTTTGGTCAGAAAATGTGAACGTGAACCACGTTATTAACTTATCAGTAATCGCGTCAACTTTTGAAACAAGAGCACTCACGAGTTGTACAAAATAGAGACCTCCAAACACAACGCTTCTAACGTACCGCAACAATAGGACTGTTCCCCTACAACAGTATTTTATTAAGTTGAAGATGCTAATTTAAAATAACAGACTAAAGTGGTATTTTTTATCAATAGATGAGGAGATAAATGTATAAAGTTGATAGTTCCGTTAGAGTATGGCAGTGTAAAAATTGTATATAGAGAGTAGAAAGCGAGCAAGAAAACTTTCAGGAAGGTACAAATCGGTTTGATCATCTCTCTTTAACAAACTCCCCCGTTCGAGAGGGATGGTGAGGGGTCTAAGCAGTGTCCGCGCTTCTATTATCATTTTCTCAGTGCGCACAACGTCCAAACATCTCAGGTGAGTGTGACTATTAGCGGCCTCTTTTTCTTCGACAACCTTTCCGTTTGAACTGCGTGTTAACCAGCTCGAAATTAGCCGCTTTTTGTAGTGCGTATATTCTGGCCTAACAGCATTGCTCAGTCGTAAAAATGTAATCAGATTGAAGATGAGAGACTAAGGAATCGTTTGAATTTTCAGCGAAGTGTTTTGATCGGAAAATACAGTGAAATTTACGTTTAAATTCTGGTTGTCAAATACAATCAATGGGTGCTGAAATCGACATTCTGGATCACTCGATCTCAAGTGACCAAGTAAATGCATCAACCCCCTCTGATTTGAGCCAAAATTGATGGGTTGAATTATTTTAGGCCAAAAATCAAAACATTTGTGCCAATCTACCCATCCAAAAGGGTAGTTTTTACATATCTCTGAAACCGATAAAGATACAAACGGCATTGAGTACCGTTTTTGAAGTATTTTAAACGTACAATCAAATTTTATGATCGTAATTTATCTACAGTGTCGCCAAATCTACGGTTTTCTAATTTGAAAACTTTAAATGCAAATATATCAAGAAGCCCCTTTTTAATTTTGATGACACCAAAGTGTTTTTTACATAAGCATTTCGAAACGAGGAAAAACAATACGTTTCGTTTAGCAGATATTGAATTTTAAAGATTGCAAGATTTAATAAAAATTTATCAATTTCACCAAAACGCTTCCATATAGAATGTTGGTACCGTAAAACGGAGTAACATTGATTGTTTTTTACAGTATATTCTAAAAAATTTTACAGCAATGACTGTTTTTCAAATTTTATATTTTTAAAACAAGTACTGAGGATCCAAGAGATAATTCGCTAGTAATATGTTGAACGAAAATTAAGGCATTTGCACTATTTTTTTTAGTTTTGTGACCGAACTTCAGTATTATGATTTGGGGTTACTTTGATAATGCTCGATGAATGTAGAACAAAATAAGTGAAACTCAAACAATTTAGTTCTTTAAATATGAAGCAGTCATGACTAGAATTCGGTGGTAGATCCGATTCTGCACATTGTAGTTTCATATTTATACCTGTGATCTTGATGTTTTTACCTAGGGGATGAGTTTTGGGGTTAGATTTTGATAAGTTCTTTAGTGGAAATCACATTTAAGACTGCACATTGTAGTCGAAATAGGTATCTGTTTTGGACACTAAAATCAATTAATGCATATAAATCGCTGGTCACGTCTTCCTTCGGAAGGGAAGTAAAGCCGTTGGTCCCGGCCCATGTGTGTTGAATGGGCGCAAAATCCTACGCAGGTGTGGAAGCTGCCTTCCTTCACATTCGATTGCCCACAAATGGATGACAATCGATGTCCGTCGGTGAGTGGCACTAGATTGCGGAACAGAGACCGAAGTTAAATAAAGGAAAGAAGATAAGTTGTGTGATGTGATATTAAGGGCTCGGTGGCCTTAGAGCGACCGCTTTTGCTTACTGAGCAGAACATCACTTTTTTCTTTCTTTTTCATCTCAACTCGAACCCATCACGTAGCGTTTGCCAAAACAAACTTTGCTGCTTACCCAACCCTTTTATCTAACATTCCAGTGATTTTTCGTGTTAGTGCAGAGGACTTCTCGGTTGCTAAAAAGCGATGATCACGTTAACACATTCCTACCCAATCCTTTCTAGACCTGCATTAGGACGCGGGCGGCGCTGGTATTGCCTTATTTTGAGATCACTAGTTTTTACACATTGATGATGATTGATAGCGCCAAGTATCATCTGTTATTTCTCTGTGTAATTACAGCTGATCTGGCAACAACGGAGTAGCATCCACCGAAGCTTGTACTTGCCACACAACTATACTATTGCAAAAATGATACAGGCATCGAAAACTCTCAATCAATAACTGTGGAAGTGCATCTTAAACACTAAGTTGAGAGCTCGCAATAAGCTAATATGCGATAAGCAATAAGCTTGAAATGCGAAGAAGAAGAATAATCCACGGGCGATCAATCATGCTCATGCTCATTTGGGCAACAAGATTCAAAGTTAGCAGCCATTTTTCAGTCTTCACCGAATTTATCGCGATTCGAACATAGATTATGCCACATAGGGGAAATGGATTTCCTATCGGCCTAAATGCCCCTAATTTGGACCCATACATAAATTCAGCAATCGACTAAATTTTCAATAGCGACCAAAATATCCATTAGTACCGTCCCAATGACGCGTTCATCAAGATAAAATTGATAAATAGCTGATTTTTTGCGATGGGACCAATCTTAGATCCATAGGCCAACATTAGAGCCATTTCCCCTATCTACGGAAATAAAATTAAATCGCGTAAAGATACGATTGTTGCTGTTTTTTTTTGGATCTGAAACGCGCTTTTGAAACAATTTCTAGGCCCTTATTTTTAAGTACAATCAAGCGCTTTGGAATTACGAGTACTGCATATAAATGGTTTGAAAGCTATTTGTCTGACAGAACTCAACGGACTGTTTTTAATGATTCTGTTTCCAGTCCCGTGGAGAATAACCTAGGAGTGCCCCAGGAAAGTGTATTAGGGCCCCTTTTATTTATTATGTATATTAATGACTTGCAACGTGTTTTACGGTTTTGCGACATTAATCTTTTTGCAGATGATACTGTGTTATTCATTGCAGCTAAGGATTTAGAAGTTGCCGTCTCACACTTGAATGTAGATTTGCAGTATCTAAGTAGATGGCTGAAGTGTAAGCAGTTAAAATTGAATACAAGTAGAACTAAATTTATGCTAATTTCGCGGAATCGATTAAATGAGAACGTCTCTGTTGTAATTGATGATGAGACTATTGATCGCGTTCAGGAGATTACATATCTTGGCGTGATTATTGATGACAAACTTAAGTTCAACTCTCACATTGACAATGTCATCAAGAAAATTGCCAAGAAGTATGGAATTCTATGTCGATTTAAAAACGAGTTAACTATTGTAAGTAAAATACAGCTATAAAAATCAATCATCTCCTCATCTAGACTTTTGCCCATCCATTTTATTTCTGTCAAATGAAAAAAGGAATTTATATCTGTAAATGTAACCAGCTCGTTTTTTTTTGCTAACCTGGTTAAAATGTTTACATTGAATTATCTTAAAGATAAATCGTCCAGTTCAAACCTTTGTAGGGGTAAGAGGTGGGACCATCATCATCATTTTAAAATTATGCAAGTTTATTTCACATGTGTATTTTTTAAATCTCTCATAGTAATCACCATACAAACTTTAAACTGTTTGTGAGACCTCTAAACCTTCATCAAGCTTAACCATAGGGTAGAGAACTACTTCGACCTAAGCGCCCATTTTGGGCCTATAAAGCATAAAACATCAAATAAATCCATGATTTCGGCGTTAACAGGTAAATTATGCATGCAAATTATACTTAAGTTCAAATGCCACCGATCGAAGTCAATGAGAATGCGTGATATGAATGTTGCACCCAATATTCTCAAACACAAATCAAGCGCTCCGACCGAATCAATCTTTATCTTCATCCGAAAGGCCGAAGTGACATTGGCGTTTCAGTGGCGTTTCAATGCATAAGGCCGAGTTTAGAATCCGTAGGCCGAGTTTGGCGTCAAGAAGCAGTGTTAGACTTTTAACAATATCTCAACAAAAAAGTTTCCCTTTATCAAATCTTACGGTACCTACGGAAAGGTAAATAAATTTGAAAGCCATCAGTAATAATAACATTCCGTTTGGTGCTAAACTACGCTAGATTAAGAAAGACAAAGGGCGGGTTGTGCTTAATAGGCCTGAAATGGGGTACTTAACCCTATTTGTACTGGCTCATATTTGTGGCCATGAATTAAATTGAAGGGTTATTCTAGGCGCTTGCCCGTCACTCCGCTCCTCCGATTAAAAAAACACGGACAGCAAAATAAATGTAAGTAGCTGCGCAGTAGAAGAGCATTTTTACAAGTTTTACGGAGCATTTCATCGTTTTTGTATTGCAAAAACCAATATCAAATTTTTATATTTTGCAAGGCGAAGTATGGGAGAGAAATCTTAAAGTGCTGCTATTTATCGAACAAAGCTTTAATGATTATTTTCGATGCTTCTACGGGTGTTGAAAACTCAAGCGCTACTCATGTTTATGTTTTACACCATACTTATGTTTTTTTTTTATTAAATATACAGAATAAAAAAAAAATTCGCTGAAAGTTAGGCAGATTTTGACATTTTATTCCACAGTAACAATCAAATTTATGAATTTATTACTTATTTTAAAGTTAAACACTTTAAAAAACCTTTCTCCCATACCTAACCGAGCCAAATTAAAAAAAAAATTATTACGTTTTCAAGTTGGTCACAAAGGATTAAGTTTTTCAGGCTTATTGCCTTCACAATACACAACCGAAGTCGAAAATCAGTATCACTGCAAGTAACCGACAGCAACTGTTGCCAAAAAGTCTTAGGCAAATGGACAATTTTCTTCCTCTTCTTCTGGGCCTTGCTCGACAGGATCGGGAA